AGCGATGATTGGATTCATGTGACTGTGACATTGGACGTGTTCAAGCATTGATTGGATCCTTGTCACTGTGATGATGTAAGCTCTGTTTTATTTCCAATGAAACAGCTGTGGCAGCTTGCAGAGACTTGTCAGTGATGATGATGGACTGAAAGTAGAGGTGTGCTGGCCGTTCCAGATTTTTAGGTCATGCTTCTTTCCGTTTTGCTATGTCCACCAGTTGATATATTACCCCTCTGGAATTCCACACTGGCGGTGGGGTGCTCGGTCCATAAAGAAGCGTGGTTGGTTCAAAATGTCATAAGACCCACACTCAGGATGATGCATGTTTTTGGGGAATTTTCCCCCACATATTGAGTTTTATGAAGCCATAGGTTTGTGCATGTTGGCGCAATGTAATCAAAATTGTTTCTCTTCGCACATGTGTTCGCGCAATCCCAGCCATCAATTCTACGTCGCGCAAGAGCAGTTTGTGGAGGAACAGACGTAATACTCAGTACAGTATGCCTTTAATTGTCCTTCAATAATATATGATTTTTCTTGATACAGAAATTTGGTGAATGAGAAATCTAGAACTTTATTTTAGAAGAAATTTTATCCAAAGTCATATGGCAACACTGAACACCGTCTGTTTACATTTCATATGTATAATAGCCACAGTTTACGATTACCGTACATTCCGTATCCGACAAGCAGAAGAGTCAGAATTAACCTGGACATGTCTTACATTTTATTATTGTTAGTTCGACTCATGTAGTTGATATAAACTTTAATGACCAACAAAATATAACTTTTTAATAGGGAAACTTCATGTTTATTAAACTACAAGTAATGATCTCTATTTATTTAAAGCCATGTTGAAATGTTTTTTTTTTTGTGAAGCCCGCTTCTAGATCATTAATGGTTTTTATATACATCCTTGTATTATTAAGGACGCTCGCTGCTTCCATCAGATCTTAAAATTTAAAAGTTTAATAGATAAAGATTTGTATGAATAATGCCATTCAATATCATTAGGTACATTAAATTGAGGGTTGAACATGGGAATGGCAATGATTAATTTATCTGTAGCAACCTTTACAAAATTAGCATCAAACAAGCAAATGGATGTCATGTCAACCGGAACTTGAACACCACAGCAGAGAGTAATTTATGCAGCTAATGAATTTCACAAACTATGCTGGAAGAGAGATTATTGAATTTTAGAAAAAAGGTGGGATAATTCAATGAAGGGTGGTGGCAGAACTGCAATCTTGATACTCTATTGCGATTTGTGCTATGATAACCTATGTAACAATTGTCATATGATAATTTTGCACATTCAAAGTATACATGACATAACATAGCGCACCATGATTGGGAAACCATAATTGCTCAAATGAAGCAAAAATGAACGACAGACCATTGACTTATCTTGCAAATATATATATATTCATATTTTGTATCACATAGTTAATTACGCTCTGTAGTTATGCCGTATTGACCTAATTTGTATAGTTCATTTATGCGCATTGTTATTAGGTATTGATCGTGTCTATTTCGCCAGCCGGGAGGATGTCGGGAAAGTAGTCCTGACATTGATCCTGACATTGACATACAGGTTTGTACCCTACTTGCGGCAACCAGTCAATCATTGGAAGGCACCAATGGCAGATCTCAAGTGATGTCGCCTTCTTTAGTTCTGTGATTGATGTTTGCTTGAATTATGATCTATGAAAGAATCTTTATATCCAACCGCAGCACAATGCGGATATACGTTTGTGTGTACGGTGTGTGATAGGCTGATAGCGTTGTCGCGTGTCCATGTTTAAACTATTTTAGCCTTGTTGGAGTACGGCGCATGGCAAATTTTTTTTTTACCAGCATAGTATGGCGCAGCGCGCAGGTTTGTTAAAGGACAATTCAAATTCCCGTGCACTTGACATTTTCCTGACCATGGCATAAGACCAGGTTCTTTCAAATAACCTACAGAATTGCACCATGTCCAGCAGGCCGCCACGCCAGCCCGGCGGCTGAATGGTGGGCAGCCATTCAGCCATTTTTTTTATATGACCAATCTTCCCCAGCCAAGTCACATGGCAATATTAAAAATATTTAGGTGATTATTAAACTGTTTAAAGCCAATTGAAATTTTAAATTATACATTTATAAGATAACTCCAAAATACAGACTGTTTCATGTGACAAAAAAGTATAAAACAATTTATTTAAATAATTTAAATACGTTACTTGCCAAATTTCCATTTTCCCACGCTTCCGCTAGTGGATAAGAGCGTCATGCACACCCATCTTATCGACCTGACTAACCGTGGTGAGACTCGGTCACTCACTTCTCTTCAAAATTTAAATGTCACTGCTTTAGACTCCTGCATCTTGAAATAATTTTCTCGAAATGAACCGGGACAGACGAAACAAGACGAAAATATTCCGGGAAAAAAACAACGGGACAGAGGGTAAAATTTGTCCCGGAATAAACATATGAACCGAGTCAAGACTTCTATCCCGGACTTTAAAACTTGTGTCCCAGTAAATAATGAACCGGGACAATACAGACAGATTTGAAACGAGACATAACGAGACAAGACAAGATTTGTCTTAATTATTTAAGACAAAACAAGTTTTTTGATTACGATACGAATCATTTCAAAAACATGGGTTGAAGAATGACAAGTTAGCCCTCTATTGCTAATAGGGCCATAGACAGTTACCAGTTGAATTGAGTTAATTGCAGATTTAGCAAAATTTGTCTGACTAACTGACATGGCAGTTAATTAGTGGTCTGACAAACACCGCAAACCTGTCAATGTATGCATGGCTGAGTATTGAGTAAAAAATGTTACCCTTAAGTCTTAACTAAGGCTTCAATGGCACTTTATGGTAACCATACGAGTAGGAGTCGAGTTTATTACGCAATCGGAACGAGTTCAGGCGCCATGGCGCGCATAGGGTGTAGGGACGCAGTGTCTAGATTTGTCGGCCAATTAGTAGACAGTGGAGTGGAGTCCTGGTAAGATATTCCTAATAATACTAAAGCTAGTATTAGATTATCTCTGCCTTTAGTAAAATTTTGTGCTTTGCCTCCAGGAAATCTTCACAATTGCGCAGTTTCCTGAATTGTTATCAAACACTTGGGCTTGTTTAACATTATTTAGAAAGGATACACATGGATATTTCGAGTCCTTTTTTGAAGATCAAACTATTCTATTGTTTCCAACTTAAATATTGTTGTATTTTAAAATGTTCTTGATATTTCTTTCCAAACTTTTTGTTGAAGGAGATCGCTTAAGGCAAGATCGATGAATCTGATTCTGTGATTGAGCTGGAGGCAAATCAAAGTCTGTCCAGTCAGCCAATGTCACCAGCTACAGCTAGGTAGTATGGCCTCCTCCAAACCATCATAGAACACAATTTTTGAAAAAATGTGTTTTTCCATTTTTATTTGCCTGTCAAGATTTTTTCCATTTTTATTTGCCTGTCCATATTAAACCACAACATGTATTCATAGCAGAAATCATTTCAATTGCCGAGCTCCAATCAGAATAGTGAAAGGATACGTTGCTGCAGGGAGCATAATTAAGCTAGGTTTTAGCACATCCCTTACTGCCTTCTCCCATTTAGCTGGTTTAACCTATATCTGATGTATTCATTATTAACATTGCCATGTTTCTCTTATCTTGTTCCAGCTTCAATTTATTTTCCATTACCAGTGTCATTGCCTTGATGTGAAGCTGTGGTAATTTGTCTGATCAATTGGGAAGTCAGAAGGCTATTATTGCTTGTTAGAAGGACTATTGCCTAGGTGAGTTGACTGCTGTTGTTGTCCCTTCAGGCTAATGGTAAGATGATGCTAAGTGTCTGAGTGTCACTGTCTTGTTTAAGTCTTTCTTACTTAAGCTTCATTTTCACAATTTTCAATAGAGGTTTTTGGTTCTTAATTTAACTGTTGTCATTGAAAGGTTTTCTGAATGTGCATTTTGTGATGTGCTTGTATTATGTGTTTATTTAGTCTATACCAGCTATTCTGTCCCATGTTTTTGATGCGTTTCTAAAGTGCCGATATGATTCATTAACATTTTTAGTCAAGTTATATTATTGTTCAGTTAAGTATCTACAGTCATTAAGTTCAGAGTTTTAACCTTAAAATCTTGATTCGTTCATTGTACCTTCATTAACTATGATTCCGTTTTCTGTTCCACTAATTAATGCTTCAAGCATGTTATTGTCTTAATTGGCATGATGGCCATGAGTGGTTAAATTACTTTAAAATATTTCCCATGTTCCAAAGCATTGTCATGAGTGTTGCCAATTTAATTTCCTGGAGTATTGTCCCGATTTACCCCGCCCATCCCTTATTACCCCACTTGAAGGTAGTGGCAGCAGGAATGGGTTAATATCACTGAAGCTTCGGGGAAGGGCCTTTTCGTCTGCCAAATCAAAGTTAAACTAGGCAATTGGCCTTGGGCACTGAATCAAAATAGACTTGTAGAGAATGCATTTGCTAGACTTCAGATGGATCATGCTGGAGTGAGAGTATGCTTGGCTAGGTTTAGAATGATTGATAGCCCTATGTGCAACTGTGGCCAGCATGTAGAAACAATAGATCACTTGCTGCTTCACTGCCATCTTTATGCTCAGACCCATTCTAATATATCTAACACACTAACCATGCTGAACATTGATCTATCTGTAAAGAACTTGCTAGGAGGAGGCCCTTTCTCACCTGCAGGACAGGTGAAGATAATCAAGGCCACCACTGATTACCTTATAGAAATTTAATGTCCTGAAGCAAATGTAGTCTTAATAAATGGGACCTAGTATGTTTTTACCTATCTAAATGTTGCTCAGATGTACTATTAAACATCTGCCTGTAATCTCTAACAATTGTGAGTATACTAACTACAAATAACACTCAGTGGAACTAACTTAATATCAAATCTTCAACAAACGCATCCATGAGTTTCAAACTGAGGTTTCTCTGAGCAGATCAATTTAATACTGTAATGACTGCCTATGTAAAGGGCACCTCTATTTGTCTCCATCAGATATGCAGATATTGCCTCCTTCTGAGCCCTGTTAGTAAGAGATCCATCTTGTTTGCTCATTTGCATTAAATATTGTTTGTACTAGCCATATTTAGCCAAAAGAGGCTCCAGTTTGAGCTGCCCAGTCTAGACCCACACCTAGAGTCTTGGTTCTTGTATTTGGCACAAGGTAAGGCATCCACTAGCTACTAACTTGGGCAATTTAGTTTAGTTTAATTAGTTTAGTTTAGTTTAAAATAAGCTAATCACTAACATTTATTAACATAAATAAATATCAATTTATTTTGAAACATGATGTTCCCTGATCTGCACTCAGCAAATTACATCCCTGAACATGATATTGAAATATACATCCTCAATTTTGTGAGCTGTAGTTGATCAATTGATACAATGTTTATGATGCATTATACTAATTTCATTTTTCATGTGCACACAGTTGCTGGGAGTTTCTGCACCAACTGAATCCCCATGCAGACATTGGCTGTTGGGACTGCTGAGGATACTAACGCTGTCAGCATATTCACTTTTTTATCAGCATTATTATGAATGCGCACTTGTAAATAAGCAGTACCAGTCTATGCAGCTGGTTAGGACTAGTATATTGTTAGGAATCGTATGTGTTCTCAATTTCGTGTATCAAGGTTGCTTCTGTAAATAATGTTACTACTTGCCTGTAAATAAGTTTCTATTCTTGATCAGGTGTCCCTTTTTACCCCATTTCCAGATTAATTCAGGAGCCTTTTATATTGCGTCTAGCACCTTACAAATAGCATATGGAATTTTTTTGGAGGTGCCATACGATAGCACTTGCAGAGACCTTTAAAATGAGCCCAAACTTGTTTATGAAATGTTTCATTTCATTCATATGAAATGTTGTTGTCCCTTTTTACCCCGTTTGACGGTAAAGCCCGCAGGAGTTCTGTTTTATTTTCTGTACACTGCATAGCAGCAACTTTAGTCATCACTTGCTTTACCAACTTGTTCTTAATAAACCCAGGCTGTGCTGCCTGGGCTGGATCTTCATTAACTTATACAAACTCATGTGAGGCTCAGTTTAGGGCATGGCTACTGCTACTAACTGGGCTGGGAATTGAATGAGACACTGTCAATGTGGAGACCTATAATGCCAACCCTGAATTTTGTATCCCTTATGCCTATTCTTTACTTAGATATGTAGCCATATTTTTTTGTCCTCAGACATTTGTCCGGGGTGGTGACAATGTCAGAGAGGTCCGGGGAATATCCCGGGGTGCAGAGGGATGGTGGCTGGGGCAGATGGGGAGGGAGGGATGGGGGGCAGAGGGACCCGGGGTGGCTGAAGGGATGTATATATTAATGATACAGAGAGGGGAGCCATTGAGCGGAGTGGAGATGGCTATGGCCTCCATGGTGGCGTCGCCACGCAGGAGGGGAGAGATATCACGCCCGTTATACGGGATGTCGTGACGTATCAGGATTAGGAGACCGCCACCGTGGCCACCGGGACGGTCCCTACGCACCAGCGCGTATCCAGGGAAGGAGGGCGGGCGGGAGGCCGCTGATAGCTTCGTCTCCTGGACGCAGGCAATTGCAACATTGTGCTGTGCGAGGAAGGCAGCCAGTTCAACTGCGCTGGATTGGATCCCATTGCAGTTAAACTGGGGGACGCAGAGGCGAGTGGAGGCAAGCACGGGGGGAGGTTGGGGGGGCGAGGGGTTTTCGGGGTCTGGGTGGGCTCAGGTCAGGCCGACTGCACGTAGGGCAGATCCAGTCGGCGGAGTAGAGGTGAACGGAGCGAAGGCCAGAGCACCGCTTGTGGCACCAGGCGTCGCACATGGAGCACAAGAACGAGCAACCCCGCCATGTGACCGGGAGGGAGCAGACTGAGCAGGGGTGCGGGCCAGGGTTGGGATGGATACCCCGGGTCAGGAGAAGAAGGACAAAGAGGAAGAAAAGATGGGAGGAGAGGAGGACATAAGGTGTCCCAGGAAAGATAGGCGGCCAAAGGTGTGGGTAGGGGGAAGGGGAGGCTGAGGTTCCCCTGCCCTTAGGGGAAAAAATGATGAAGGAGCCTCCGTCCGGTAGCGATCCGGGCGGGGGGGCCTCTGCCGTTTGGCCTGACCCACGAGTAAGCCGGGCATCCGGCCGACGCGCAGGCCAGGGTACCCCCACAACAAAGACGTGGCAGAGATCGGGGGCTAGTAGTGGCATGGGTGTAGGTAGTGGCATGGGTGTTGTGTGTTGTTCCTCCAGATTGTAGATGGCATCTGAGTTGGCGGCTTAAGATCATGCTAGTTAGATTATTTGATGTAGTTTATATTTCAAAGAAGTCTACAACCTTTTATATTACATGAAAATTTATAAACAACATTAGTTTCTTGGAAGCAGTCCAGAGTTTTTATAGAGCATACGTTTTATTTATTCATTACCTGCTGTGCTCCTGAAATTATTATGGATGATTCACTGTAGGAATCGTTCATCTAATTGTAGCCTCTGTTCATCTGCTTTTGGTAGAAGAGAAGAGATCCAACAGAACAACTTCAGAGGAGAGCAAATAAATTAATCAACACAACAAATTCTGCAATAGTATCTAAAAGACTTACCCGATTGTTGGGAGCTATTCTCCAGGCTACCTCTACGAAACATTAAAACCCACAAAAAAGACTACCCCAAGGCCTATAATTTTGCAAGTTACTTCTCCAACAAAAATAATAAGAAAATTAAAAACCTTGTCATGAATAATAATCCCTGTAAAAATCTGGACTGCTTCAAGAAACTAATGTTGTATATGAATTTTCATGTAATAAAAAAGTTTGTAGACTAATAGACTTTATCATAAAATGAACTACTTTGGTCTTACTAGCAAGACCTCAAGCCACCAACTCACATGCCATCTACAATCTGGAGGACCTATGAACCACATGCAGGAGGCTCACAATGAGATCATCACCCAAGCAACATTGGAGGCCTGCACCAGCATAGTCATGCGATTCTCTGATGCTTTGAGACTTGTGATGCCAGAGGCCCTCATTATCACGAGCAAGTCTCCAGCTATCAAACTCCAAACTACAGGATTCATCCATATGCTGAAATTATATTCAGAGTAATATTAAGCTTAGATTTAAAACTGTATTCACAATTCCCTTAATTTGTACACAATACTGTCATTTCCAAAATTTCAATTTCAAGTGTTGTAAAATCTTCACCTGCTTGATAATGAATATTGTTTATTCAAAACATTGCATTAAATCAAAATGTCATTTTTTGCTTATTATATATTATATATAATATTATAATCTCGATTTCTCCATCTTGGATATCTTCTCTTAGGTGTGACTCGGTTAAGGCAAGCATGATTATTCCTTCTGTCTCAGCAATTTCTTTAAGTACGCCGATCTTGTGGCGTTTTCTTCTTGGGAAGAGCCCCTCTATATTTGCTATCATGATGCTAACTCTTCCCTTCCTTGCGTCCTTAGTTGCTGTAACACTGCACTGCCAGGTGTCTCTGGCTTTGCAGCTGTTGCATTTGTTGCTGTGATTTCTGCTGTTGTTCGTGCAGTTTCAACAGTTGTTGCATTTGTTGTTGAATCTGATCTACTTGCCTCTGTAGGCCTAAAAAATGTTTGCTCTTGATATAGAGTCCTGTTTGTTCTGGTTCCATCAACATCATCGTCACGTATGCTATAATTTGAAAATTATAACTATTACTAACGGCTTTACTTTTACAGTAGACTGTTATTTTTGTAATATGTCAGCGATTACTGAACAAACAATGAGATATAATAGCACAGACTATGATATTTGCTACTATAACGTCACTTTGGTTCTCGTCGTCAGTCAACACACATGTATATAATGACAAAATATTCAAACTTGAATAATTGAAAATATTTGTACATGGAGAAAAGCGCGTTGAGAGATTTAGTGAACTCTCGACTCTCTCCCGAGCATTTACTTTATGTATTGTTTACTGAACAAACTTAGGAAAACCGGCATAGTCGCAATGACCCGGTGTGATTGATATTGACAAATGAGTTTTCAGTAATGCAATGTAGCACAGATCTGGAAAAAATAATCTATCGGGCTAAAAAATCAATTCATCTACATAGACCTCCTAGGCATTTCAATCTCACATGCGTGTAGCCAGCATTGATCCAAACATTCATGGATATATGTTCATAAGTATGTCATCCATGAAGTAGAACGGGTAAATCATATAATCAGTAGACATGGACGCAACTCGAAGGGTTACACCGCGGAAAAAATAATATTAAATTGGTGTAGTATACGTAAGCTCAATTGTATGTGGAGATCCTATTTGCGTTTTGTGTCTGGTGATTGGTTGAGGACGGAGTAGAGTTTTAATATTGGGAATCTGTTTGGTCTGAACGTATTTATTTTTACGAATCGTAGATTCATTTCTATGTTAGTATAGGCTGGCAGAATTTCTTCTCTTAAGCAAGTTTTGTTAAAGACCAGAGAATTAGTTTTATTTATTAGCTTCTTTTTAGTTTTTTCAATAAGTCGTACTTAATTCTTCGTATAGGTGTTGGAAGATTGAAAATTAAATTACCGATAGACATTTTTAATATTGAACGACGTTTCGAATGTACAACATTCATTTTCAAGTTAAAGACGCAGTGAGTAACGAAATTTGGGTTGACATATGTACGAAATCAAGTAAATTGGATACCATTCAAATAATGCTAAAATTTCGTTAACGTGATACTACCTACGGGAAGATTTTACATTCGCAAAAAACTACTCTGAAAACAATCTCAAAGTTCTGACGGAGCCGGTGGTTTGAAGGTTGATAGCTGGAGTCCTCTCCTTAATGATGAGGGCCTCAGCTATCGCCAGTCGTATAGGATCGGGGCATTGCACAACAATACTGGTGCATTCTTCCAGCATTGGGCAAGTGATAGTCTTGTTGTAGGCCTCCCTCAAGTGATTTCTTGGTCCTCCGGACTGAAGGTGGCAGGTTAGACGTCGGCTTAGAGTCGTGGTTGTGAGCCCGATGTAGTCCATATTAGGAAGAAGTCTACAACCTTCTTTATTGCAAGAAAATTTATAGACTACATTAAAAAAAACTTGACCTGGCTGGACCTAACCTCAGTAAAACGGTCTCTAGAAACCTAAAGAAGGGTTTTAGACACACCTAACCCTAACTCTAACCCTAAACTAACAAGGTTGGCATTTTTTTGGTGTCCGGTAATGTAGTTCATTTATTTTCGTGTCTGGTTTTTAAGTACAAACTAATTGCAGAGTTAATTACCAGACTCGATTTTGTCCGGTTTTATACCCCCTGTCCGGTAATGTTACCAATTTTGTCTAATAATTGTTCAAAATTCTTATATATATGTATATAAATAGAATACATTAATATAGATTACACTTATCTGAACTATGATTTTTTTACTCTGACCTCTTTACAGAGTAAAAAATCTGTGAAAAGAATGTGACATGGCTGGACTTGACCACTGTAGATAGGTATCTAGCAATGGAAAGAAGTGTTTTTTACACTCCTAACCCTAACTCTAACCCTAACCTAATGAGGTTAGCATTTTCAGAATTCCAGTATTGGAGTTCATTGATTTTTGTGTCCAGTTTTCAAGTACACCCTAATTGCAGAGGACATAACCTATACGTTTTTTTCTAAATTTCTAATCACTGTCTGGTAATGCCAAAGACCAAAACTCGAATATATAGTATATATTCAATGTACCATATATAAAACTCAAGTATATCCTGCATTGTAGTTTTAATGGCAGATAGTCTTTCAATTTTCTGCAAATAATTCTAATCTTCTTTAAATTGAGTTCACTGTGTTTAATTTTTGTGCAGGAGCATGAATTTTATGACATGCGCCCCCTGATAAACTACCGCACCTGCATTTTGGAAGGCAGTCCTGACTCGTTTGTAGTGGAAAAGGCTTACTTCATCTCAGTACGCCAAAAAAAACAGTTTCTAACATACATGAGGAAAGGATTAAACCGAAGTTTGCATCAGGTATGTGTAATAATATTGTATTATTAAACCTTGCTCACAAACTAGCTTCTAACTAAAATAATTTTAAATATGTGTTGTATTACCACCAGCATGAGATGCCAACATTTAATTTCAAAAACATCACGAATGTTCAGCTTCCATCCAGTTGAGATAGCATGATCACTCTTATTCTCATTAATTATTTGAAAATACTCAATCCAATCTTTATTCACAGACTTGTTCCACAATTTGATCCATATATTATCTCAACAAAGTAGAATCCAAAAGTACCAGACAGAGCTGATGTGGGTCTTATGCAATCCTTTTCCTAAGCATTAATTTCCATCCAGTTTTGCCTTCTTGCTCTCAGCTGCTATTGCTTGAACACTATTATGAATTTTATAATGAAACTGGAGTCTATGATAGCCCAATTTTTTTTTATGTTTACAGTTTTATGTCCTGGCGCCCTATTGGTGATTTTATTGGAATTAATTTTATTTGTTTTTTTTTATTTATTAATCATACCTGAATCATGGTTATTTTTTTAAATTACTACCAATAAGAATAATTACCTGTTTTTAGCGCATTTTCTCATTAATAGAAAAAATGCACTATTGTGCTCACCATGTCGTCTGTCTGTCCGTGACCTCAAGTTTTTGTCGACGAGAAAATGCGCTCTCTGTCACTCACTTCAGTGATTACTGAGTTATATTTTTTAAACATCCTGAGGTTAATATGTTCAGGGACTTAATGTTTATAGATACAATGAAATTACTTACATAAATTTGTAATTTCTACCTCCAATTCCTGCAGGTAGAATTCATATTAAAAAGTAGGCAATGAGAAAAGTTCTCTTCTTAACAGAAGGAAACATTTCTTGATGTATTTTTCCAAACAGCAAAAAAAAACATTCAAATCTTTATTTCACTTGAATTTTTACAAAAAATTACACTACTGCCTTAAATTTTTTAAAGAATTTAGAAGTAGTATAAATTACTCCTTGGATCAGGAATATTATGAAAATGTTTTACTTATTTAATATTGCAAAATGTTTCATTTTTTCGGCTTCCACAGATAAAATTTTACCTTCTTTCACTAGTATCAAATGAGTTCAGCCTGTTTAGACATCAAAAATTCAAGAAAAGAGACCAGTGCCTAATTGACCTGTTTCTCAAGCGCTATGGTATGGACCTTCTTTCTATGGAGTTCATCCTGAATTCTAAAAATAACAAAGGGCTCTGGAAGTACCTTTCTTCCAACTATCGCTTCAAGCTCTGCCCAAGTGAGATACTTGTTTCTTATGTATATTGAATAATATAATTTGATAGAATATTTAACCTAACACATTATTATAATAATATAATTGAATGTTATATATACTTTATTTACTGATTCTCATTTGTGTCATTGATTAATAAAGTTTATGTAGGATTATAACCTAGAAGTGAGTGTAGATTGAGGCTTTATTGTTGAATTTGATTATTTATCTTCACTGCCAATTTCATTTGCATAGATCATGACCTTGAAAAATGCTTCATGATGAAAAAGCTCCTTATGCTGGAATCAGGCGCTACTAAAGGATGTAAAATTTTGACTTGTTTGCTTTTACAAAGCTACCATTCCCAGTGCAAAACTACAATATTTAGTCCTTTTATAATGGAAACTCCCCTAAATAGACATTACGGTATCTGGTGAATGAAAATCATGTAATCATTACTTTACCAATCGTTCAACAATGAAAGTTGATTGGTTTCACAATATTTTGTTAGTTGAGTAGCAAATGAGTTTGCTAAGATTAATTCATGGTTGGTTTCACTTACAGCCAAATGCATTTCAATGAATTTGGTCTCATAAGTAGTCAAATGACAAAAAACATTTTGCATGCTTTTTCAGATGAGTTTGTTTTGAACCAACTGCTGACATGCAGTTTTATTTATTAGAAATTTTTGCTCTAGTGCATTATAAACAGCTTTGTTGTGGCTTAGGTGCTGTTGCCTTCTCAACTCCTCCTGAAAGAATTACAGTGCTCTGTAAGCTCATCTTTTGAAAATACAATCCAAGAATCTGATCTTCTCAACTTCTAAGCACCTGACATAATGTGAATTGAAGAAGTGTTTGTCTAAATTATTATTCTTCTTGTTACACCAATTTATTTAAGTTATTTAGAGCATCAGTATGGCAGTGGCTAAGCTGACCATAACTTGTTTTCAGTTGCTGATGGACCATGGACAGATGAAGAGTTGTTGCGTCTCATCAAAGGAGTGGTGTACACCTGGAACAAAATGTCAACTCAAAACTCCTCCTGTTCCATCAAGGGCATTAACTGGAAGAAAGTATTCCTTTTTGTTAGAGTGAGTATTTTTCATGTACAGAAGTTACCTAGAATTCATGAGCATTTCATCTCCTTAATTTTGAACATCATTTCTATCAATCAGGCAGGAGGGATAATGATTTTTTTTTTTAATTTGCATGTAGAGTTATCTTTTAGAACAATATATGAATATGTCCAAGGTGTTTCACGTATTAGGCTGCATTGCCAGGGAAGTTGAAAAACAACAGTTTTTCTTCCATTCAGCTCATTAGAGCCATTAGATGAAAAAAAAAATATCTACTTGAAGCGTGGCAATAGGTTGGTATAAGAATGGTATAAAGATTGACACAGGCATATAAAGCAATTTAAATGTTACACTGATGCTCTTGACTGCTGTCAATTGTGGGTATTTTGGACAATGTTAACAAATTAATTCAGAGGTGGGCAGTAGCGCGCTACATGTAGCGGCCGCTACATTTTCAGTAGCGGTAGCGGTAGCGGCACTACATTTACGGCAATGTAGTGGTAGCGGTAGCGCCCGCTACATATTTAAGTAGCGATACGAGGTTTTGCCGCTACAGCGCTACCGCTACATTTATAGATAAAGCTTTAGATTTTACTTAAGGGGGGGTATACCCTCCAGAAAAACTTCCACATTTACTAACTTATCTTTCTGAAATTTCACACATATATGTAAAACCAAAATACAAGAATATTTTGTTTGTATGATTTTTTCAGAAAAATTAATAGAAAACGTGAAATTTATAGAAAACGGACAAAAAGGGGTACACATTTTTCCGTTTTCTTCTCATTTTTCCTCATTTTCTTCAAATTTTCCCCCTCCCCCTCATTTTGAATCCAAACTATGCACAAATCTAAAAAAGGCTCGATAACTCGATAGGTATGGTCTTTACGAATCAAATGGTATATGTCGCATTGCTGTAGCTTCAAAACTCTAGGAGGAGATAGGTTTGCCGTGGCAATAAGTGTGAATGTTCAGGAGAGCGCGACAAAGCCCCGAGCGCATCGCAATAGGCACTCAATGTAGCAAGGATACAAAACTAAACTTTATAGGAGATTGATTCCAGTCAAGGATGGTGGGAGCAACTGCATGCACACCTCCTCATACGACGCCAGGCGGGTAACTAAGGTGCACCTCAAGCCGACACTCTATTAAAAGTGCTCGCAGCGAATTTCCTCCTATTCTATTTGTTAAAGACTTCCCCCACCCCCCTCCCTTTCATGATCTGTCGTGAACGCATAAATCAACGTACAGAGATGGTAATGGTACCATTGGATAGGGCAGAATGTCAGCTTTAAGATGAGACTAAAAACCGGAAAAGCCAAATCCAAAAACACTAGGGTAGACGCACCCCTTAAGTTGTTACCAGTTACCACTTACAGGTATTTTTTCATGTTTCAGTTACCTTACAGTTATTTTTATGTTTCACCTTCCCTACATGGATGTCTACTTGAATCTCTATATAAAAAATCAGTCTTTTATTTGTATATATATGTGGATACTTTTTGAGATTGGTAGATTAAAGTAGACATCCATGTAAGGAAGGTAAAACATAAAAATAAGTAAATAACTAACTTCTATTTACTGTGTCTAACCACAGTAACCAGTACTAGTTTGGTTAGGTTAATTGCAATAAAGTTGAATTGATATGTTTTGAAAATGTTTTATTCTCATTTAATGTTTATGAGTAAATCCCAATAGCAGAAGAATAAATATTAAGAGATTTCTAAAAATTTTGGCCATTGTAGCGGCTAATGTAGCGCGCTACATTTTACTGTAGCGGTAGCGGCCGTTACAATCTAGTGGATGTAGCGGTAGCGGTAGCGCCCGCTACATTTAGAGCATGTAGCGGTAGCGGCGCTACATTTCAAAGTAGCGCTGCCCAGCTCTGCGTGAGTGAAATTATCATGGTATTTAGTCCTGGGACAGTACACTGATCTCTGCAACCAAAACAATTGCAAACAGGAGTGATACTGAATCTGACAGAAATAAAATACTTAGACCAGTGATTGAAATCCTTAAATGATACAGCAAATGGAAAACTATATTTCTTTGATGTAAACTCGTTTGTTATCCAGAAATATTTCTCAAAATACAGGCTCAGTCTTAACTTGAATCCTATTTGTTCCAGTATATACTAATAATATAGGTTTGTAATTTCCTTATATCCTGTAATGTAAAATCCATTAAGAAAATATCTCCTCTAATTATCCCTGTATAGTTGAAAGTTATGAATATTCCTTGCTACCTTGTGCTGCCATTAAATTAAATCATCTGATTGATTGAACTTCCATGCTCTTTATTCTATGGCATATATTTTATTTAAATCGAAAATGAGCAATTCAAACTATTGTGTGTGATAAAATATATTGAACTCTGAGCTAATATCTTTTACGTATCAAAGTATTGCACTTGGAAATTGCAATTTCTAGTATTTTCTTTAAATATTCACATACTTGGCTGTATTCTTTTCACAATGGAGATGAAGGTCTGGCTGCTATTTTCACTGCTGTTTTATTCTATAAAGTTTTCATTAAATCTTTTGTAATGTTGAATTTGTGTTAGGGCCATTATTGAGGATAGGAGGCCTAATAATGAGGAAATTTATAAACATATGTTTTTTTGTGTTCGATTGCATTCAAAATTTCTTTAGAGGATCTGATTAAACAATATTAAGCTTTTTTTTATATGATTAGAGATGGATTTGGGAGTAGTTGGTTATTAAAATATTTCATTGTATGATTTACCTATATCAGTGCTAAGCTTTATTGCCCAGGAGAATTTTTTTGCAGACACGCACGCCTTCAGTCTGCTGCGATACATATATCCTGTTTGCAAAGCAAGCTTTGCACATGCATCACCACAAACTGAAGCACCCAGATGCGGAGGATCTCCCAAAGTGGACATCTAATCATGAATTGATGCTCATTAAAGAGTAAGAAAATAATTTAGCACAATTAAAATTTTTAAAGCTGTTTCGACTTGCTCTTTCCCTCTTAATTCTTAAATTCTACTTGCCACAAATGTACCTATCTTTTATTGTAATCATTAATGTCAGTTATTCAAACCAAGTTTCTTCCTATGATGATACTAGTTCTGTGACAGCCATTACACAAAACAAGGTCTTCCAAAGTTCAATTGGCTGTTAAGTCTTTTGGTTTTTTAACTTTGTTAATATGTACCATATTTTTATTTTATTTTATTTTTCTTAATTTTGATTGATTTGTTTAATTTGTTATTTGATCTCTGGTAATAATACATTGTCTGTACTTCAATATTTCAGATTGTCAATTTAGATAGATATTGCAATCATCTGACTTATTTATTAATATTTTGTTTCTATTCAACTATTAGTTGATCAGATAATCTCATTTGATACCGTATATTCAATTTTATTTTGCTGGTTACATTTTGTATTAATGCACTCTTCATACATTTCTTCATTATTTGCAACCAATTCCACTTCTAGCGTCTTTGTAAGGATTAATTTGAAAAATACCCGACTATCCATTTCTTATCAACTGCGTGAATCAGGAAGAAGTACTCAGATTAAACTGTTGTTCATCAGTAAATGATTGCACTTATTGTGTTCAGCTCTTGTTTGCAATGAGAAGAGCACTCTATACCTTTCTTATTGTGTAAATTCTTCATTTAAGAATTTACAGCTGTTTAATTTAAGTTTAATTTCATTCCAAATTGGACATGTATATATATTTTTGTTGGTACAAAAATGAATTCATCTTATGGTGTTCATCCAAGAATTTTTCATCTAGTTTAATCTAAGCAACCACTTTTACCAAAAACAGCTGCGAGAATGTTGCTATTTAGAGATAATGCATAGGTACTCTATTTATAGAACTTTGGCGTCTCTATATTTGTCTCGATTCATAGATTCTTACTTTTAGGCAGAAATTTCATGTTCAAGCCTTTATGCTCTAAAAAAGGCCTGATAGATGTGATACAATGTTGTTGGTCAGATTTTTAAAAAGTATCACAAGTTAAACTTATAATTCTGCCTTATACATTGGGCTCTCTTTGTCGTTCATCTGCTATCAATTGATGAATTATTTTGTTTACAGGATGATCAGATCCCCTGCCACGACGCTGTCGGTGATGGACTTCAGGTCAATGATGGCCCTACCGGAGTTTGAAGGCTTCAGTGACAGCTACCTGCGGCGCATGGCGCGTGATGCTATTGCTGCCTGGGTGCCTCTGCCGCAGCGGCGCAACCTCGACGGTATCTTGCTGGTTTCCACTCTCTCCACTCTCCATATGCTATATTACTTATTGCTGCATGCTGTGCTGATAGCCACTCTCCATGTGCTATATCACTTATTGCTGAAAGCCACTGATTTAGTTTTACCCAACTGCATTGTAAGCAGAACAGAACCGACTAGACTACACTGAGTCAATGCTTCAACTACTCTAAAAAAACAATCCGTCTAAAGGCACAGTTGTCTCAAACATCTTCAAACAAAATAAGCACATAAAGTGTACAACTTGGGAAGTAATCACGCAAGAATAGGAACTTGGTAACATATCATAGTATGAACAAATCCGGCATCTGAACTATAAATGCATACAACAAACTAATTTATCTTTCTTAACTCTGTTCAGAGACAGTAAAGATCTATCCATCTGATGTTTAGGTCACAGTATAACTTTAGAAATTAACATTTGGGTAATGCTTGTCGAAAGAACGAACTGCTCTCTGAACAATGCATCCTAACAATGAGAAAAGTAGACATATACCGATGATGAGGCAACATAATTAGGAGTGGTCCGCAAAAGTGGGACCAAGACACTCACAAAAATAAGTTTGGCT